TATTGCTACACTTTTCGAACCATAGCTTATTTATATTGGGGCTTATTGCATTTTTTACTGAAGCGATAGTTTTTATGCGGACTAGGAGCTACCATCATATTTTGAAAGTAAAAAGCCTGACCACAGACAAGAGAGCAGTTAGTTAACTAACAGCAGCAGCATACTTGTACAAGTTCTTCTTGTCGGGCTTGAGTTATCAATGTTAAAACCTGAGCTAGCTTAAAAATCCAGGACCAAGTGTAATAAAAGCGTGCGCTGAGGAAGCTTTGATTGACATATTCAGCATAATTCGAAGAAATAGAAATCAGTCATTCATCTCTACCAACAAGGTAGACAGAAGTGTTTTACTCCATTCAGACATCCAAGACAGATGCAAGGAATTTTGCGATGCATATGATGCAAAATCCAAATAACATCTTGCCTTAGCTCAATTTTGCGAGCTACAAGAGGGGCAAGGTTGATCAAATTTGGCAACAATTGCTTACACAGAGAAGATAGTAGAAGAGGTAATTAAGTAATTTCATACCACTCGTCTCCCTCAAATTTTAAAACAAGGTAAAACAAGATTTAGCTAGCCAGATTTTAAAATTTCACTTAAAGCAGACAAATGCTTTGGCTCATGTGGTTTTGACCACTATCTCGATGATCTGTTCGTCTCATGTCCTCTGATGGCCCATCGGTTTATCTCCACATTTTCGGCCCAGCTCCATTCAGATCTATGCATATTGTGACATCTATTGGAAAAAAAGTAGCAACAGTGATCATCGGGTTGCTCCAAATGATAATAAATCCCTATTCTTTGCCAGAATATAATGCCTAATTATCACAGAAAATGGCGGCAAAAGGTCAATGGTAAGGATACCAGACCTCGAGAATGTTAAAACTTTTAAAGTAAGACTGCTTCTAAAAGTTGCTTTAGTAAGTTTATGCACTGCATGAATAAGTGTACCTCCCCATTTTCAAAGAACTGACTAGATGGAAATTTTAAAAGGTGACTGTTTCTAGGCATTCGTTTCTACAAATAGCTTTGAGCGTATAAATGATTGGGAATTCTACTTCGTCGAAAAGTTGTATGACTGACACTAGGAACCATGTATGGCCGTTTGTACCCATGAATGGTTGGTGAAGATCTGTATGTGTTTTGAGGGCTGGCAAGGTATGATGATTACTAAGAACAAAGGAGAAGTTGCTGGACCCAAGGGATGGAGCGTGTAAAGAAATAATACTTACTTTACTTCAGCTCCCTAAGCTATGCTGTCTCTGTGGTTTTGAATTTCACTGTGTTTCTGCAGCATTATACTCGAGCTTTTTTATTTGCAGCTCAGCAGCGCCTGGGAGCATCCATGATGAGGTAGCGTCCGGACCACGTGTACTCAGGTGCCAAACTTAAAACTAAAGAAACTGCAAATAGCATGGATTTAGACAAAATAGGATTCTTAAGAGGCAAAATTACTCGATAAGTGACGCCATTTAAGAGAATATTTTGGTCCCTGTCAATAGCATCTCAAGTTGCTTTGTCAGCTATTAGAGTAAAAAGTACAGGCACAGCAGCTTTTCAAGAAGACAGCAATTTTACATAACACTGCATACGGTTAAAAGGGCACATGCCAAAGAAGACTTTTTAAGCCTTTATTTATAAAATAGAAAAAGTTCTTTGACAAAACATGATTAAAATGAAAAAAAAGCCTCAAGAACAAACGGAACAATGTAAAAAATTGACTGGATATTTATCAATGGATACCTTTTGAATATATTGCGACAATACTTGAAAATTTTCCACTAATTTTAAAAGGGATTTTAAGATTTGACGGAAAACGCACTTTGGATTAATCAGGAACTTGAAGAAAGAATAAGCACCATATAATCTATAACAAATATGAGACAATTATTATTAAAGTTCGACAACCCATGGATCCTGTTATTCTTGATTGTCTACTATGGGTGTTGGAAAGACGAGATGAAGAAAAGGTTTATTACTGAATGCTATTGATGAGGAGATAATCTTATTCACACATCACTGTTCGATGAGAGGTGTGATATTAAAAACAGTCTTTCAAACCCCTTTCGATTTATTTATAACAATCCGCCATGCAATAACCTTAGATTTTAAATGCACAAAACGCATTGATATAGGCTATACGCGACTCAGAAAGAAAAAGTGGAAATGGATTTGTGACATGGGTGGTACAAAATCCTAGCCATTTCTTACAAGCAAGCAAACACTACGTTATACCTAGCACCGTGGTGGTGGCAGTCCACTGTTAACTATTAGCAAAAAAACCAGAAAAAAAATTATCAAATGAAAAGTCAGACGAGAAAATGTGCTCACAAAGGGATTTCTTGCAGAGAAAAGAGATAATGGCTATATTTTTGAGGCCTAGTGATAAAACATGAGCTAAAATTTTAGAAGTAATTGTGGTGGGTGCGAAACTAACATCAGTTTCATTCAATTATTTAAACAAATGACACATTTGAGAAAATTGCTATACACTTGCATTTAAGAGACTGTACTTTGCCCCATTCTAGAACGGTTGGTTTTTATCTAAAAAAGGATGAGCCTCCTTGCCAAACTTGCATCATATTTCTCATGCCCATATTCTACTCATGGTTAATTTCGTGTTATAATGAATTGCAAAACCTTCTTTAGAATGTCTTTTAAGCATCTTGTTTTAAAACACGTTGCCAAGTTAACACCATGGAATACTGTGTCTGGTTCAACAGTTGCGGAAGTGTAGCTAATAACGAAGTGGTAGTGGTAAGATTGCTTGGTCTCTGCAGTGTCTGCTTTTTAGACCTTGGCTGTAAGTGTTTGAATCGACTTGTTATCTAGCCTGTCTTAGATGGTTAAACGTCAACATCAATTTACCAGTAAAAGTAAGGCACATTTAACTGACCGCTACTCGGGCTATCTGCTAATAAATTTTATGTTTCAAAAGTGCGCATAATCCTATATGAATAGGCAAATGTATCAAATCCAAGTATGTAATCCACAACTCACGCTTGCATCAGTGTGGAATAATGCCTCTGTAAATAAGCAAAATCCAGAATCCTTTTCGAGACAAACGCACGTATATACTCGAATGAGATTGATTAGGCATTTGGTAGCATAGCAGACATTCGTTGCAGTCGCCTTGAAGTGCACGAAATTTGCGTTGCATTTAGTCGAAAGCCTCATCTGATGCGGGCTGTGCTGAGTGCTCAGACCTCCTGGCCACCTTCATGCAGATCATATTGCAAAGACTGACTGCATACGCAGGAGGGCAGATGAAGACAGCGCCACCAAGTAAGCCTGCAATATACAACGACTTCACCGACTACCTCACATAGCAACGATTATTTCGTGGTGAGTAACTAATGCAAGACAGGACATGGGGTGACATGACATGACCAGAGTTATGAGAGTGTTACAAGTCGGGGTGGTGTGTCGTGTAATCTGAGGTCACAGTAGCTGTATGACCTAAGCAAAAACATAGAAAGAGCGTCTGTCAGTTACAAATATGTCCCTATACCAGTATTTAGGCATTACGCACATATCCGTCTTGGATAATTTCAGCGATTTAACACCACAGAGTCTTATGCAGTGTGTTTCTAAAAGCAAAATTGCATTGCCAACCATTAAGTGCACAATCTTAAAGGCATGGGGGAAAGATTGGTAGGACTGACCTTCAAACTTACTAGTTTTCCAAATCCACAGACGACCCCAACAACCAACAAATCTCTCCGTCGACTATTTATAGCAACCTGTGGAATTGAAACAAAGGGTAAAGCGAAACAAACGACGAGCCAGCAGACAAATTCGATGAGTCAATTTATATCTAAAGTTTAATTTAACTGTATCAAAGTGTATTCAAATTTCTTTCTCCATTTTGCTACATTCAGTTATAAATGATTCATCCCAAAACTCCGCCTTAAAGAACCGATCAGGCCTAATTTGACTGATTTGATTGAAAGCATTTTCACTGGTTTAACTTCATCATTTAAATATCTTCGGCAGGTTTGGGACTTTATGACTAAT